CCCCCTTAGAAGAAAAAATATCAGAGAACTATATCAAAATAAGATCTTAGGTAGTTGCAGTGACCTTTTTTTTAAATTTTGGCGGCCTGGTCTCGAGCGGTCCGTTTCAGCGATAAAAGCGTTCCTAACATCATGTCCTACCGCCAAGCTTACAACATCAATCAGTCCGCCACGAAATAAAAATTATTAAAGTGGAGGGGCGAGTGTCGCTTCTATAATATTCTATGCCGCCACCGATCATCCCCTCCGGCCGCCACTGTTTAACACCAACAACTTTATTGCATAACTATATTAACAATTAGGTATGATGGGCAAGACGTCGTGTAGCGACTATAATATGTATAGCGAGCGGTATCGTATTCGTATTTCGTAGTATCGTACATTCGTACTCCGTAGTGGTAGTAGTAGTAAATAGTATTGTGGTATTAGTGGTTTGTGCCTCTAAGTGGCAACTCGGCGATTCCTCTATGTGGCGCACTCTCTTCCCGCCGCCTTTCATTCATAATAATAACAAAGTATCGCACAGGAAAAAGAGGAGGACGACGTCCGCGGACAGTGCGAGGAGGTGTGTTGTGTGCAGCATACAGCAGTACACGGCAAAACGCTCACATACAAACACACTCACGAATACGCGATTTATATAAATATATATATATATGTATAATAGACGAACTTACGACACAATAATAATACTATTATAGACTCGACGGACACACAATAATACAGTACACAATTGCTATCTAACACTGAGCGCGGACGTCGATCCGTATTATTCGCTATTGTGCATCGTTCGCGGTTCGCGCAACAATCGCAAATTTTCGGTGCAATAATTTCATTTGCTAATTGCTGAACGTTTTCCTGTAACTCCACACGCACAACGGCGTGTGCGCACATCAATATATTATTATTATGCCCATCGTCGTCTGACCGGAAAACACTATCCAATCTCGAGAACGCGTCCTGGTATCAACAGTTGTCATCGAGGTGAGTAATTTGTGTGTCATCCTCCTACACAGAAATTGATTATCAATGTTCGGCCCAGATTTCCATAGACTGAAGTTTAATCATATTCTGTTGACGCTGACAGACATGACGAATCGCGTATTCGCTCCTATTATACTTGTACTTAGCAGTGGTAGCCTTTCTGGTCAGACTAGGTCTGAATGTTTGTCCTTTACTGCCAACAATAATCTGAACAACAGTATTTCGCACAATTGACAGCAAACCTAGACATAGGATGTCTTATGTTATTACATCAACCTGGTTTTATATTTGAATTGCCCAACATTTATTAAAAGACAAATTTATAATAAATAAAATTTTTAAGTTATAACATACCTATAAATTATAATTAATAAAAACCAATACGCTTGTATGGTATGCAAATTTCTTAAATAATGCTTATGTTGATTACCTTCAGAATAAAAATTAAAACTTCTTGTTTTTTTTATATATTTTATTCAGTTGTACTCATATTATTTGCTGGCTTATAAATTTAGTTTAACCTAATCAATAATCATCATTTTCTATGATTGTTACTTATCTAATGTAATGCTTTCAATAAACAGTTTTTTTTTTTTACATAATATTATACTTGTAATCAAAACAAATACTTATTTTGATTATATTAACTATACAGACTAATCCTATTTAATCTGAAACAAATAAAGTATTACATTGATACAGCTGATACATTAAATATTATAGTCATAATAGTCTACCTGATGTATTAATCATAATGAATAACTCCATACAATTATATTTGTCAGAAATAATGAGTAAAATATAAGTGTTAATGATTGGTTGCTTATATATTTTAATAACTATGCTTTATTTATGCCATAAGTAGGCACTTTAAAGATAAACTTGTATTCTCGGTCAAAATTCCTTTAAAAATTAGTGTCCTTGATGAATTTTATATTCTGTTTGCTTATCTTGTATAGTACAATGGTATTTTTCTACATGTCTAGTATATATTGTTGATGCGGTTATAAATGTAAAAAACTATGCTAATAAGCCATACCTACTATACCTTAATTTTAAGACTAATGTTTAAAACCCTTAAAATTATTCTCCATTTCAGTGTTAGGTATTTCAAAATTGTTGTTTATTTGTTCTTATCTATGTATAATATGCTAATTGTAAACAATAATAATATCTAATTAGATACCGCCAATCATCAAGGCTGAAATTTTATGTCAAAAAATAGATATTTTAGAAAAATTAGAATGGTTTTCTAAACTACAGAAAATGTGCTACCTTATTTATAATAATATAGAGCAAAATCAGGAGAAGAGGGTTAATTGCTGATCTCCTCCCTTTATGGCCTTGACCATCATTTGATAAAATTTTTTAATTATATCGTTGTAAAATGTGTCCTGATATCCTCCTTAATGTTTTAAATTATTGCATTTAATAAAATTATGTACCTATTGCATAATGATTAAAATATATCATATTAGATAAACCTAATTATTAATATGAAACAGTTCACTTCAGTATTTTATTTCTTCTCTAACAATTGATTCTATAATTATTTCATTGTTTTCATAATATTTTGAAAAGAATAGTATCATWACTTTCTCTTGTAAAATAAGTAATTGTAGTCATGTACATAAATTTAAGGATGTACCTTAACATAAAATGTCTATGTTTTATTTCATACTAGCCTATAAAGTTTCTTTATGAAATCAACTAGGTATAGTAACTTGAAATAGGAATCATGGTTTTAAAAAATGTATAAATTTAAACATAACCTAATTATGGTTTTCTTAAAAGTACTTTAATTAAGACAATTAAGTTAATCACGAGGTTAATCAGTATTAAAAATTTAAAGAAGCATATTTTTTTGCTTTCTAAATTACTATTTCTAGTACCTATATAACAATGACATTTAAATCTTTAAACTTAGATATTATATTTGTAACATATAAAAAATAATAAATAAAGAAAAAAACCTTATACCTATCTAAGTATGTGTTATAACTTAAATGGTTAATTAATGTTTTAGCTTTCTAAATAGAGTTAGTCAAACCATGTATTTTAAAGACAAAACTACAAAAAGAAAATTAATTCTTGGATTTTGTTCTAAATACTTAAATACCTGTACATAACATTGTTAGTATAAGGTATTAAGTATTAATCTTAACTCCAGAACAATGAACATTATAAGTAATTATATGTACTGAGTTAGTTATAATGCTATGGCATGCATATAAATTTACATTTCTTGATTTAATTTAAGGTTTCAATAATCAATAAATTTTCATATTGTAGGTTAGGTTACTACTGTATTTATAAATAAAATAAAAAGCTCTATAGCAAAAATAAATACTAATCAATGCTTAAAATCATAGATAGTTAACATAAAAAATAATTAATTGAATAGTTAAATAACTTATAAAATATGTATTAAATATTTCAATGTGTTTATATATTAATATTTATTTACATTTCTAAGAAATTAATTAATAAAAACATTGTTTAGAGTATTACAATTAATTAACTGTGATTTGGCTGAATTTAACTCCATTTTGAGATACTTAACATTGACATGTTTAATTGGCATGTACCTATCTAAATTATTTTATATTTACTGTTATAAGCTAGATTAATTATTAATAATTGTGTTGCTTGAGATATTTTTAATTGAAGTGCATAATTTGTATAAACATTTAATATTCCTAATTTTTTTGTTTAAAATTAATTTGAAAATAAATAAAACAATCATTGTCTTAATTATATAAATATTTCAAATAAAACTCAATTTGCAATTAAATTTTATACTGTGTATTCTACAATATTTTTATAGACCCCTAATATATATTTTGAATTTTAGATGAAGAAACGTGAAGAGATGCAAGTCAATGTTGCCGGGCTAAGGAGAAATATTAAAAATATAGCACATAATTACTCTGATGCTCAAGTTAGTACAGTTTTTGATTATATTTTTTGATGATGAATTTCTATTTYTATTAATTTAACTTTATATATATATAACATACCTACTTACTAATAAATAATCATTAATATTTTGACCTAGTTAATTTTATCTCATTAGTCACGCTTCAAATATAAAAACTAAAATAACTATATTTTGTTCAACAAGAAAATAAATTTAGTTAGATACAAATTTATATAAATTATTTACATACATTATATTCTAGGTAAAAGTGCGAGAGGCAACTAGCAATGATCAATGGGGTCCAAGCAGTACGTTAATGGCTGAAATTGCAGACTTAACTTATAATGTAGTTGCTTTTTCTGAAATAATGGCCATTCTTTGGAAACGACTTAATGATCATGGACGAAACTGGCGACATGTTCATAAAGCACTTATTCTTCTAGAATATTTAATAAAGACTGGCAGTGAAAAAGTATGAATAATCCATATTTTTAGTATAATCTTATTAATGATTTATGTTTTTCTAAGGTTGCCCAACAATGCAAGGAAAATCGTTTTGCTATTAAAACATTAGAAACATTTCAACACATAGAGGACAATAAAGATAAAGGACAAAGAGTTAGAGATACAGCTACACAACTAGTAGCTCTATTAGATGATGATGAACGATTAAAGACCGAACGAGCACGTGCAATAAAAGCAAAAGAACGATCTGCACAAAAAATTTCTAGTTTTGGCAGTGATGGAAATGTAAAAAAATTTATTCATATTATATTTAACTAATTTAATGATGGTGGTGGTTATCATGTATTTTCTGTATTTTTGTTTTTACGCTTACATTTGGTTAGACAACTCCACAAAGTCCCAAGTATCCATTGGTAAGTTCATTACGTAAGATTTTATGGTTCACAACAAAAATGCATGTATTATCTACTAAAGTCTAATTGTGCAATAATAATAATAGTAGTATAATCTTTTAATGATACTTCTGAGACTGGTAATTAAAATATTAACAATTTAGCGATTGTATTTGTATATAACAGTAAATTGTTTTTAAATCATAGTATAGTATAAAGAAATATTATGATTATTATTGAAATTATTCATTTTAAAATAGTTCAATTATTTTAATATAAAAGGTAATTATCTACAAGTATTCTTATTTTTTGGGATATAATTGGGACCCTGATTTCACTCTCCACTATTATATCAATTATTATTATTAAAAATCAGAGACACAAAGAATAAAAAAGCGGATAAGTGGATGTTGCTCTGCTTTACTGTGGGTTACTCTAATGAATAGTATTAAATTTAAATACAATGATTTAATATCATTTTATACAAAAAAAGATTCTGAGCAGAGACGGTTTGTCAGTCAAGGATATTTTATATTATTCTATTGTTATTATTTCAAAAAAAAAATTGTAGGCACCTATAGAATAAATCCAAAATTAATTCATTAATTTTTAATTAATCATTATGTACCCGACTCACTAATTCATAATGTATACAATATACTATAAACAATTAGTATAAGTCATTAATGACATTAAATGATACAATAACAATATAAACTATAAGGTATACTTTAGAAACTTCAAGTACCCACGAATAATATTTTTAAATTATAACAATATAACTAAAATTATTAGTCTTGGTTATTTAATATGTAATTTTTTCCAATCTTGAACTTAAAATAATTATTAAAAAAACTATGTTTGATAGTTTTTAGATTTTTTTTTGCAAAATTAACTACTTTTGTGAAACCTGGTTTTAAATTTTCAATCTTTAGCTATACTCCGACCCACAAAAGATTAGTACCGTTACGGGCATGCATAATAACCGGCAGCAATAGCGCTTTTCCCCACTGTATGTTGTAATCATGGCGCGCTATATGGGGGATACACAGAATTGGACGAGTTTTGGTCGTATAGTGGTACTGATTTCTTGTGGGCTGAAGTATATAAAAGTTGAACATTTTATACATCTGTTGCAACTAAATAATTTGTAAATTTAAACTTCAAACGGTTATAAAAAAAAAACCTACCTATATTATATTATTTTTAATATTTTCCAACTGCTAAATGTATGGAGATCCTTGTATTAAATTTTCAAGTTTTTCAACCCAGCGAGTGAAATGTAATTGACATTTATACAATAAAAAATTTAAAAAAACATAAAATTGCATGTCTATAATTAACTTTTTAATTTAATTTATCTACGGTAATTTGTTTAATAGTTAAACCAATATCCAAAATCGATTTTGTGTAAAAATACCCTGTTTTACTTATTTTTATTTTTGTTATTCCTGGTGCATTTGGAAACTAATTTACAGTTTAACTTCCCCAATTGACTTTCCCACTGGAAAAGCTACTGAAGTTGAAGATTGAAGTATTATTTTTACAACTTAACATGMACACAGACAAAAAAAAAATATGTAATTAAAAAACACATCATTGTAAAATCAATACATTCATCGCTTCGCTCAGAATCTAAAAATTATATATTGAATGTATTAAAATCATTGTACTATTTTATATTTGAAATAAGTTCTATAAGTATAAATGCATATTTTGTAAATCATAAAATAATAGTTAATTTATTTTTTGTAGTTCCGAGATTCCTATGGCTTATATGATACACGACCTCCTGTAAAAGGTTTGTTGATTGTTATTGTATGTATTTATTTAAAGGTCAGAATGGTAGAATTTCTTGTTTATATTATATTTTTAACTTAGTGTAACAAAATTTTTTCCCAAACTTATGAACATTTAGATAATATAAGATTTGATGAGGGTTTAATATGAAATTGTTCAAAATAATATATTTTTTTCACTATTATTTTTTTTATTTATTAAATAAGATGATGACTTAGTATTTTTTGGTTACCAAAAACTTAATCTTATTGGATGTGATGTTTTATCTAGTTTATTCTTTAGTTAGGTTCACAAGTTTATTTATAATAACCCGGTATCATTTTGACTGAACTTTACTTGAAATCATTACATCAAATATATTTTACTTTCATATGTTTACAATATTATCTAGGCTCAAGGTGAACCTAGCAAAATGAGTAACCAACACTTATTTACTATTTCCTGTTTGGCTATTTTATTATTTTAATTTGTGTAGTGCTGTTTAACAATATAAAAAATACCACTAAGTTTTCTTTTAATTGTGCAATTTATGTGTTCAGTTTGAAATACCTCATAATTTTGGGTTATATGAAAATTTGCTACACTTTGTTTTAGATACAAAAAACAACAAATTCTATTATTACAATTTATGCTTTTATAATTATAGTAAAGACAATAAATAATCAAGTATCAATATAATTATTGTTATTCGTACATTAATGTTCATATGTAAAATTATTTTACCATTAAATACATGTTATATCTATTTCAGCGGAACTAGAAAGTGCACGTCCACAGACCGTCGGTGAAGAAGAATTACAATTACAACTAGCTTTGGCTATGTCTAGAGAAGAAGCAGAACAAGAAGAACAAAAGAGGCGTAGTGATGATGTGCGGTTAAAACTGGCACTATCTCAGAGTGAAAATGAATTCAAGTAAATTTAATTCATATAAAAATAGTTGATATGTTTATTCGGGTTAAATAACAAATAATATTTAAGTAGTGGTTCGGAATCTGGAGCTAATAGTAGTAGTGGCAAGAGCAGTAATATGTTGGACCTATTGGGAATTGATCTAGACAATGATGCAGATCAAAATGGTGCAACTGGAACAACAGCAGACCCATGGGGTATGCCAATAAAAACTCAACCACAGGTAATATACTAAAAATAAAACTTTAAAGAATAGATTTGAATAAAATTAAAAATGTATTATTAAGCCATGGTTATTAAATAAAATGAACAAAAGCTATTCAAATTCATTGAATAGTCTTTAGTATTAAAAAACAATTCCACTTGTCAATTCACAACTCAAAAATGTTTGATTTAAAAAATTTAATTTCAGCCTTTAAATTGGTCTAATGGAGATTCAAATAATGGAACGTCAGGCCGAGCTGTTGACCCTTGGTCACCTGTTACACAAAAACAAAATGCGACTTCTTCTACTCATGTATTGCCAAGTGCTAACAATGGTTAGTTTAAAATAAACATACTTATAATACATAGAATCATTTAATTCTATAAAATGATTTTAAGGTGTACATCCTTGGCTATCACAAAACACCTCAGCTGTAACAATGGCTCCACCAGACCCTTGGGCTCCTGCGACAATTGCTCAACCTTTAAATACACCAAATCCAGAATTTGATGAATTTGCTCTTCTTGGAAATCGATCGGTACAAGCAAGTATGTAAAAATAAGATTTTTTAAATTTAAGTTTATTGTTTTCAAATGTATATAATATTATTTAATTATTAATGTCCAATGTTATGTTGTGTTTAATTATTTAGAACCTACCCCGGACCCATTTGACCTATCCCATTTAAATAATGAACTTCTAGGAACTTCACAAAGTTCAACGTCTGGTAAAAAGACACCACATAGTTTCTTAGGAGAAAATTCTGCTTTAGTAAATTTGGATAACCTAGTGACAGCTCCTATTAATCCAGCACCAGTTGCACAAATACGACCACCTGGTACGTACATTTTTAATAACTTTTATTCATGAAGTTATTAACATTTCTCATTTTATAATTAATGATATAAAGTTATAAATAACACAATTGAGCTATTTTTAGTTGTTTAAATTTAGATTTGATCCTAATATAATATTAGTTGAATAGTCTTATAGTATGCTTATATTTACTACATTATTCTTAAGTTTTTTTAAAAATTATTTTAGGCATGGCAAATCCTTTTGGTTTAACTCCACAACCTCCATTTGCCAATCAACCAACAGCTCCATCTGCATTCAGTGGTCCAACTACTTCGACTTTGCCACCACCACTTGTGCCGTCACCAAATCCGTTTCTGTCGTAGCAAAATTTAAGGACTCTTTTAATCAATTACCAAATGATTAACAATAACAAAGTTATATTTTTTTACAATTGTTTCCAATTTCCAGTAATATTTTATTCGAGCAACATGTGTTTTTCTTCTTATTTAAAATGTAAATAAATTAAGAAAAAAGAGCTTGGAAAAGTTAATTTGGTCTCTAACGATAATTGTAAAAAATAATTACCTTTATAACTTTTAATCGTAATAATGTTATTTAATTAAAAACGCAAATTACTAGGGTGTATAGAGATACAAAGAAAAATATAAATTTTTCAAGAATAATTAAAATGATTTTTACTTTTGCAGTCAGCATCAATATCTTAATTCTTTTGATAGATACTTAAAAAATAGCTACTTCATAATACGTATCATTAGCAATTATTATTAGTAAAAATAATTTCTTACCAATGTTTTTCAAAATATGAAATTAATATGTAAGGTTTACTATTTAATTTGCAATACCGAGCTCAATGTGTTAAAAAAAAAAAAAAAAAATACTTTATTATTGTTAAACGCACTGAATATATACCTTTTTTATACATAAATATATAACTTAGATTTTATTTAAAGACGTTCCGATTTTGAAATGCCCGCTATTATGTCACGCGTATTTTTCTATGTAAATAAGAATAGTGGGTGTGAAAACGAGTGAGAGATGTATTGTATTTTTTTAAACAATTTTAAATCCGTGTAGTTTTTGTTTAATTAATATTGTGACATTGCCTGTGGTAAATTATATTGTAAAACATAAAGCTATGTTGATAATAATTATAATATTATCAATTGGTTTTAATAACAATAATTGTTTTATTATTCAATCATTTATTATTGGCCGGTATATTTATAATACCTAAATATATATTATTTTATTTTGTTACAGTAATTTTCAATGGTGTTTATATTTTATTTAGAATATACATATAATAGTAGTGGTCTGCTAACATTTAATTTGAAAGGTAAAAAATTGTTCCACAATAGTTAGCGCTTTCACCCAGTAAGAGTGTCTTTCCCTACCCCCTTATTTAACAAATCAAATTAAGTAGTATATTAAAATAAGTTCTATATATAAATGTACAAAGCTTGTGCTTCTACTTAAAATACTATTCTGAGTCTGCTCAAACCTATGTATGATTATCATAGAAAGATCCCTAATTTAGATTTTGATCTGAGCAGTGAGTGTATTGGTATTAGATGTTTTAGATTTTAAGAGAAACAATGAATGTTTTAATTTAACAATGATTTGTATATTTTTATTTTGTTATTTTAGAAAAAAAAAATGTGTCATTGCTGATCAGTGATCACCTTTTAAGTCAGTAAGCGTGTTTTATTATTATTCAAAAATCATATAACTGTAGACACATGTAACTTCACCAAATGTTGGTTTTATCATTTTATACATATTACATATGATAAAATATTTTAACTCGTTTTGAGCTACTTATAGACTTTATTTTGTACATTTTTCTTTGTTGGCCGTTAGGTTAAATAGCTTGAAAAATGAATGTAAGGTTCCTCATATTATATTTCTAAAAACGGTTCAAAAATATCAAAGATACAATGTACAATTTTTTTTTAATGAATTCTATTCCAAATTTTGGCAAAATCTCAAAAAATTGTTTTGTAGTTAACAAATTTTAAAATTCACAATTCTTATAATAATTAAGTTGCTCAAATAAGGTTTCCCATTTTTAGTTAATACTTTAACAAAAAAATATTTAAATGTAGTTCTGCTGTAGATATTTTAAGAAAAATGGACACAATTAAATTAACTAATTAATTAACGTAGAATAACAATTTCAGTTATTTTTTGTAATTTAAAAATAATTATTCATATATTTATAATTGGTGTATGAACAGCTCAAGATTAACATTGTGTTAAAAATTCAAGTTTTTAACCGAGCAAACAAATTTTTATTGATATAGTTTATAAAAAATATTGTAATTGTAAAAATTTTTTGAAAATATGCATTTACGCATTACACCCTACAAGGCTACAACCATTCATGTTGTAGTAATACCAAAAAAAAAAAATCAATTTTGCCAAAAACTACTACAAAAATTATTCATGTAGTTCCCTAATTTGTTTTCTTTGTTTATTCCAATTATTTTGAAAAATATATCAACATATTTTTACTTTTGAATAAAGCTCTAAATAGATCCGATATTAGAAAACATACCTTATTGTTACCACTGTGATATTATAATTTACTTTACACAATGACATTTTCATTAAATTTAAATTAATGCTTAGCTATTTTTACCCGGAGTCTATTCACAGAATCATTAATCACGTCGGTATAGCTATAATAACTAATAAGTTAAAAGCAGCCAAAGCAATACTATATTATGAAATAACATTAAATAATCACATGAAGGGTGGCTGACCCCAAATATTTGAGACATGGGACGAGGACGGCGAAGAAGATATTATGATAATTAGTTATTTTTTCATTTAATTACTAATATTACTACATTAAATTATATTATATCATATACTTATGTTTTAAGAAAATATTGATTTAACGGCTTCAACCCGCCGTATATGACATCTAAAAAAATTAACGACTAATGTATAATAAATAATATATTATAATAAAATATCCTTGGAAATAAAGGCTAACAGACCTATGCTAAGAATCGTTTTTTGTTGTGATGTATATTGTTTTTAATAGTTTTATCGCATTCCTACAACCTACACTCATCACTTATCAGTCATTTTTAAGTTATAACTCAATGACGAAGTGGACTCGATTACTCGAAAGTCGAAACCCATCCAACAGTGAAACTTACCCGATTTTTGTTCAAATATTAATAATAATAATAAATTAATAACTGATCATACTATTAGTGCTATAACGTTTCCTTTTAATAATATATTTTTTTCTTTTTTCTTATGTTTTATTCAATCTGTTTCAAAGGAGAACAATAAGAATAATTATTGATGATAGAAGCTAAGATAAATAATATATACAATGGCAGATTTGGCGGATTTCTACAATCGCCTCCCAGTGGAGGTACTACGACATGAGTGAGATTTTCTTAGGCTAGGTTATTATTGTTCATATATTCACTTAGGCATAGGCTAGCATATA